CCCGCCGCCAGGGATCAAGAACAAGTGGCCTGGTGATTGGGATTGGCAGTACCTACCAATTCGAAATTTGCCGTTGGAAATGGTGCCGTGTCTACCATGGGGAGAGGATAAGAAATACAATACTCCTTCGAAGACAATGCACCAAAACATTCCGGGTAATGGACAGGTCCAACCTACATTTCTGTTGATTGCACACTTGGTTCAGGCGAGTGACTATCTCGATGCAGCGGATTATGCAGTGATGGACCAGGTGACACCGGCCTTAGCGCGCGGCTCCTTGCTCTTGGAGTTTCCTTTTTCTCGTCCCTGGAAGACTACTCGGAAACGACGATGGGGCTTTGGAAAAGTTCACAAGGACCGATACAGCACCCATGCAAAAGTCAATCCCCGCTCTATGATCCACTATGCCTGGGGTTTTCTGTCGCACATCGATCGCCACAATATGATTGTTGCGTTGCCTCAATGGCGTCAATATGCCTCTCTGCGCCGTTTCGCATCTGTCACTTCACTGGCTTGTTTGAAAGAACCCCGCGTCCTTCCAGAGACAGGTATTCCGACCGTGTTGGATCCTGTACGGGCGAAATTCAATTCTGCTGGTCTTCTTCGCTTTGACTTTCTTCATGGTGATTTCATCCGTTGGTTGGGTGGAGAATATGTCAATTCAGCTCGTGACTTCAATGCCGAATGGGATGTCATCGACTCCACATTGCATAATCGCGAAGTCCCTGCTGAATATCCTCCGCTAAAACTGGAAATGGCTTACCGTATCCAGACCGAGGGCGTTCCCATCAAGGCCCAATACACAACGCCGATGTCCGCTACTGTTCTACGTGAAGAATATGATAACCATCCAGCCGTTGCTGCCAATTTTTCGAAAGTCGAAGAGAAGTTTGCGAAAGAAGAATGGAAGGCCTATCACCTTCACTACTTACGGTTTGTCTTCCAATTTATTCCCGGATTGGTTATTAATCCCATCCAGTGGGTTTTTGACAAAGGCAAGGGCCGGATTTGTATTGATTGTTCTAATGGTCCTGACGACTTGGGATCAATCAACACATACATCCCAAAACCGAAGCAAGATGAAACGGGCGATGAGTGTCCACCCATTCACTACCAGTTCGCGTTCAAACGGTTCCTTCGTCAGATTCTCCGTATGCGCATCACTGAACCAACGAGTCCAATCTTGGTTCATGCTGATGATGTCGAGGCTGCCTTTCGCCGAGTGCTTTATCATCCGGATGTGGCTGTGGCTTTCGCATATGTCTTCTCTGATTATTTGATTGTCCCGGTGGGTCAAGTGTTTGGCTCGCGAAATGCTCCTTCTTTTTACTGTGTCCTTGCTGATCTGCGAGAGGTCCTGGCTACGTGTCGAGTCGACGTCCCTATGGACGAATTACATGATTTGGTTCAAAAATGTTCTATTTCTGTTGATACGACTACACCTTTGTGTACGGTGCCTGCGGATTCCCATCATCCATCATTGTCTATGGATGAACTGCTACGGATGTACAATGCCAGCTATGTTGATGACAATGCGGTCGCTGCCTTTGCTGCCCACATTGAACAAGCCATACATCATAGTGTGATGTCGGCTTTTGAGGTTTTTGGCCATGATCCACGTCGAGGTGACTGCCTTCAAGCGACAAAGTGGGAACCTGAGGTTACCGAAACCTTCTTGTTTTTGGGTTTTCGTATCAATACCCATGATATGACAGTCTCTTGGCCCCTTTACAAACGAGAAGATTTGCACTCGCAGTTGGTGGACATTCTTAAGTGTCCACCGCAAACGAAAGTTATGGGATTATGGTTTTATTTCGGGGAATTGGGTGTTTTTTTTCTTTTTTCGGTCTGACCAACCAACCGTATTTCACCATAGTTTTTACCACAAACCCCGACTGCCATTTTCGCGGCAGAAACTTCCAGTCCTCCCAAAGTTTTCACCCGACAACCAAGAATAGAACCACAACACCCTGAGTATTGCATCGATAATCTATTATAATCTAAACTTCCGATTCACATGTATATCCTTTTTTTTAAATTTCCCTCTAACGGTCGCATCTTCATCGCATCATTGAGAAAATAAATCTTTGCGATATTATATATACGATGCGATTTTATCCCTCTGAACGATCCTCTTCGACATCCATCAGGCATTTATTCTATCTCATTGCCCTGGCCAGAAGAGTGAAATGGGCTTTCCTCATATGGCTTATGCCTCCAATAGCGATCAACGCTCAGCCTTCATTTCCTGTGGAACTAAAGAGTTTCGAAAGCTCCCATATTACGGACGGTTGTTTTTAACGAAATACCATATGTTTGATCCAGCCGAGACAAACGCCACGGAGATCTTCCAACTCCAGAGAGCTGATGACGAAGAATCCAACAGAAGGTTGGACGCTATGAAAGCCATGGTTCCAATGAAGTTATTTTACAACCGGTTCTTGGATGGTTGGAACTCTCTTGACGCCGAAGTGCAATCCACTGTCCCAGTCGATGACAAAGCTGCAGTGTCAAGAGCCTATGCCAAGCATATTCTTTCGCACTATCTCCCTGAAGCTGACCTCACAGATGCCAAAATTGACGAGTTTTGCAATGATGTCCACTCATTTCTAACTTTATATGATAAAGTTATTTTACAGCAGGTGAAGGGCGCCCATCTAGTGCTACTGAATGCAAAAAAGGGCTATGCCGACAAATTCCCTCTTGGCATGCAAAGCGTTATGTCATTAGCTAAAATTGATGCCGAATTTGCCAATGAAGCCTTGGAGCTGTATGATACCGATCTCTACGCAGTCAAACGACTCCATGGGACGTTCACACGAGGAGGCCTTACAAGGGACCTTTTGGAACTGTGCAACTTCAAGTTATCGCCTGAAGAGACTGATACGAAGTCTTGTTTTCAAACTCGTGTCAGCGTAAAAGTGGATTATACTAGGGAAAATTGGCGAAAAATCGTCAAAGATCATAAGAATAGAGTAAGTGATGTGTGCAAAGGATTTGCTATCTGGTCAACATTCCTCAGTACTCCTCACTCATGATTCCCCTCTTAAACTTGATCCCGAATCATACGCAGCCCAATAAGGCGCAGGTCAATGTGGATACTTTTGCTGCAACAAGTATTTCTGATGTTGCCGTACCTGCAAGCAATTTGGAGTTCATCGTTCAGCAACCAGTTGCCACTGTGGATTCCATCAATACAGTCAATCAATATCATCCCCAGATCCGGAACGATCTTCCTTCTTATCATATCGATGGTCCGATCGAGACTAGTGCTGAAACTTTTGCTCCAACAAGTGTTCATGATATTGCCATACCTGGAATCGCTTTGGATTCGATCACAGAGGAACCGGCTGCGAACTTGGATTTCATCAACCCTAGCTGCGACCTTGACGCCAAAAGTGTGGACCACGTCATCGCCTCCACCGCAACCGTCTATCGCGGCCCTGACAATGAAATCGGTCAGCGCCTTTTAACAATGGAACAATGGCAGAAAATCTTCAACGGGAAAAAGGAGAAGGAAGAAAGTAAGGCCGAGAAACCAACATTCCAGCTGATTGCGAAACCTCTAACGCAGACGCCGGTGAATAAGGCACCAGAAGTCCATCAAGAGAAAGTTGATAAGATGGCACACGGTCACATGGCTGCTAGGAAGTCTTTGCCGATAGAGACCACAACAACGAAAATTGTGGAAGGGACTGAAGTGGCAGCCAAGAATCCATTTTCCATGGATAATAAATCTGACAATATGAAGTGTCCACTGGGAGTCGATTCCAATATTAAGATCAACCTGGAAGCATCAAGCAAGAAGGATGTTCTCGAAGAGAAGAAGATCAAAGAACAAGCAGCAGCAGGAAATAAGGAACCGAAGAAAAAGAAAAAGAACGAACAGTCGAAGAACACGAAGAAGAGAAGTCTGCCAGATAAGAAGAAAAATGAAGCACCACACGCCATCTTTCCAGGCTGTTCCAAACATCAACGGAAATTGATCGATTTGCAAGTGTTGGAACATTCTGCCTTCAAGTCATACATCAGATTTCCCAATAATACTTCTTTGGGCAGACTTCTTCCCGATTCAGTTTGCAAAGGAACTTGCCAACGGAATGGGAGGTCGCTGCTGTCCATAACGTCTGGTCAGCAGCTGGTCAATATCCACTTCTGCAAGAAGTGTTCGGACGATGACCAGGAGGTGCTCTCGTGGTTTTGTTCGTCATGTTACAACGACAAGAACAAGGCAGATGAAGCTGGTGGGCGGGTTTCTAAGAGAACGCGTGTCCCCAAGAGACTAGACTAGACAATGTGGGACGATGAAACCGATTGCATCTCGTATTATATATTTTGTTGAGTGCGTTGAAATTGTCCGGAACACGAGCACTCAATTTTGACAGCACCAGCACACGAGGCAGTCATGAATGCCACCCACGGGAGTCTATATACAAGGACGATTTATACAAAGGCAACTATAAAATCTTGTTATATTGTTATTTTGTTAGTAGGTTGCTCCCGGAATAGTTGGTCTGGACTGCATAAACGCAGAGCATTGCAGTCAGAACAGGAAGGCAAACGTTTGTACGCACAGCTTTGTGACAGGTCTCCTGCCCAACCGAATCTTGCCCCGTATCTTCCATTACCATATGCGAGACCGAGCCAAGAACATCGTTCTGGTCGATCTTGGAGAAAGCAGTACACACGCAGGGAAACCGCCAGTTCCTTCTGTGATGCGGCATGAAAGAATTTGTTTTTCTGGCCCTTGAATAACTCTGTCAATTCCCTAACGAGCTTTTCCATGGCAGTGGTCATGTCACCATTGGACGGACCAAGGGAGACCGGGTAAGTATTGCGACCAGAATGATAATCATCTCCAGGGGTACCGACGGATACAAGTACAACATGTACGGAGCCTCGATTATTTTTGGTATTGTTGGTATCAAAAGCATCAGACCAAATCACAACTTCAGATATAAACTCGGTCGGCTGGGCATTGCTTTGCTCGTTTGAAAACGCGACAAGATCCTTTCCTCTCTGAGAAGATCCGTGGAGTGATTGAACATTCTTGGACTGGGGGGAGTATGGTGCATCGACCAAAGGATCCAAAGTCTGGCCGTTGGCTAGATGGAATTGGAGAATGTCGCGAATCGAGACGTAGGCAAACCCTGTATCAAGAATTTGAATGATGGGTCGCGGGAGTATATTTGGAATTGACTCTCGTCCATCAGGTCCATAGCAATTTCTCAGTTGTGCGTGGTTCTCTGGAATTGGAAGTCCACGATTCAACGGATCCGACATGTATACCATTAGCGCAACAAGAACACGCTGCTCAATATTGGTGAGGCGGTTTGTAAGATATGCAAGAAGAATGCAGAATAGGGGATTGGTTGCACCCATGCGTTGTAGGATGTCTAGCGAAGTGTTCCGCTGCGCTGCCCAAGCAGTAAGCAACCTGGGTCCCCATCCAAACTCCAAATTGCAGTGAAAGTATTGCGCATTCATGGGTGTTCTCGTGAGACCATCGATCGGAGTCGTTTCTTCCTCGGTCGAGAAGTAACCTGACAGGTCGCCCTTTGGGTTGGGACACTTTGACAATATTTGTGTCATCCAATCTTCCGAAGTGAGCTGCGGCGGCGCATTTGATGCATCATCGATTTCGATTGAACTCCACTCATCATTGTGAGAGAAAAATTCCATCCCGTTGTCGTTGCTATCTCCCGCGGAATGCTGGGTTGGGCTGGGACCGGTATCCGTCTCCATATCCGTTGTTTGTGCGATTTGGCATCGCTCTGCAAACTGAATTTCTTGTTGCACGTAGGCTGATGGTTTGGTGCTCTCGAACTCAGCAACTCGCTTTAGGTGTTTTTTTTGACGCACATGTTTGCTAAACTGTTGAATCTCAATGTCATGAGCTACAGTGCAGACCCTGCACTTGATCCACCTGTGGACCATAGTGCACCTAACATTGTCACAGTTAAATATCGCCAAGTACTTCCTCTTTCCGTCACGAACAATATCTTTGGTCTGGAGTCCACATTTTCTACACGAAAAATATATATCTTTAGTGCGCATGATGAAGTCGTCTTTGGTCAGTAGCGGACCATCGTCTTCTGACATCTTCAACCAACTGGAAGGACCCCAATTACTTGAAGGAATAAACGTAGTGAGGCGATAGAATGACTATTTATGTAGTGAAGCAGGGCGTCGGTGGCATATCAGCAGCAGCGAAAACATGAGCGTGTTTTACGGTGTCTCTTCGCTAACTGCCGCCGGGCGTAATAAACCATGTGTGCACATGGTTATTGAGGTTTTACCTGTGAAACCAGTGAAAAACGAAGTCGGCGTTGGACAAGTATTTTCGATTGATTCAAATCGTGGAATGCAATGTCATGCGACACGCACACGGTAGGTCCATGTACAAAATGTACTGGAAAATGCCGAGTCAGTCGGTCATTATGAAGGCATCCGGACACGTGCTTTCATAGCAACCGCAAATGACACAATTTCACTTATTTTTGGATCTGCAAGAACATCAAGGTTGCCAATGGACAATATTCGTAAGTTGTTACTATCTCTTGTCAATGATTTTGTACTCGTGTACTGTATTGTATCTAATGAAAAGCATTGCAGATCCATTTCGCTGATGGGGGTGGGGATGACACCAACACTACGGTAAGTCAAGGACGACTGTGTTCGTGCGCTGTGGATACAATACAAACAACCACTAACGTTTCAGATTTTTGAACGTTAGGTCGGTCGTTTTACTATTTATTCAGATATGGATGCTAAATCACAACTAGATTGTCATGGATCGGTGACTCTTCAGGACTAAAGAATTGTCGGGCACTGCGCTATGTCATCGATGGTCTCCTTACGCTGCGATGTGACAATTGGTGATTTCGCGATGGAATCTATAATTTCTGCCCGAGTATGGCAAAGCGCAACTATATATTGGAGAGACGTGGTGGAGACATGATGGATGAAAACTGCTGGGCAAACGCAATGCACATCCAAACTGCACATTCAAACATCCAAACTGCACATTCAACGACACAATCATGAATGGATGGAAGCTTTTTGGAAAGCAAATACGCAGTCGATTTTCATACAATGACATTTGGTTAGCTAAAGATGAAGAATTAAATGTATAGATACTTTGTTCATGGTTGCAAGATATACTGACGATAGAACGATAGTGCTATATAGTAGCTCGTTATTTTAAAATAGATTCAAATGACACCGTGTGCGGGCAGGCTCCTATATGACGGCTGGTGCGGTTTAGTTGCATACGAAAACAGCCGTTAAGCTAAGGGTGATAAGGACGGTAATGATCATGGGAATAGGGAAATGCGGTAGTAGAAGTGGGACTTATCTTTGTGGTAAGTTTTGTGGGAATATGGTAGAGTCTCGGGGAGTCTCACCCGTAAAATTACCGAAATATGCGATTGTGCCAGATTGTTTCCCCCGAACCCAGACTTTTCACCAGCTTTGCGCAAAAATCGCGCGCAATATTTAGAACTTTTCTTCACATGGGATTGCGGCAGTACCATCTTTTCCACCCGATGTTCTGCCCTAGTCCCATACAATTCGTTTACGGTGTCGTCCTCGTTGTGTCTCTCCTCGAGAAATGGCAAAGATTGTTGGCATTGTCAGATCTGCATCCGAGATTGCTCCATGGGGCAATTTCTTGAGTTTCAACTTGCAAAATGCACTGACACAAGCGGCCAAGAATGCTTTCTCCGACAAACGCAGTTGGTGGACATTCTCCCGTATCTACCTATCGCGGGTGGCAGTTGCTACAATTAATCAAATGTTGGAAACATTACTGGCACCTGAGGAGAGTCCACTTTGATCTCGTCCTATCGCGTTATACTTGGATCGTGATTACACCCACCGTGCGTACTCCGATGCCAGTTATGGGGGTTTGGGTGGTTGGAGTGCAGACTTCAGTTTCCTTTGGCGCTTGAACCGTGACACTCTTGTTGAAGCCGGTTTCGAGATGCGTGCCATAAAAATCTCTTCTACCGACCCAGCATCCGTTGATGGCTTCTTGCATATCAACCCATTGGAATACTTGGGCGCCCTCATCAATCTTTGGATATGTATAAAATGTGTGAAACTTCTCGGCCCCATCGATGGGGGCTATATCTTGGCTTTATTGATCGACAATACGACGGCTGTGTCGTGGATGTCTACTGCATCTCGAACAAAAGATCCTCTTCTCCAGGGACTGGCCCGCTTGGGTGCTGCATTGCTCGTTGAAGCCTCGCAACTACTAACCAAAGTTTGTCCAAAACATCACCCTGGAAACCAGAACGGAGCAGCGGACGCACTCAGTCGACCACAACTTCAAGGAAAAGACCACGAGAATTCGTTGGCCTTCGTTATCGCGGAATGGTCCCAACTACAGACCTGTTGCATTTGCCTTCTGCCTTTCAAATTGCTGTCCAAGACTGCATCGACGCTGAAAGAACCGCCGACAGGGGATCAGTACGGGCGCGTAACGACAGATCTTTTGACTCTTGAGCCCAATTTTTTGCCGATTGGTGCATCAGAAATGAACTTTCCGAGCACGATTTACAGAAGTTAGATGATGCTGGTTGCATTCTCGTTCTTGGCACTTATCTTCGTGATGTAAAACGGGGTGACAACAAACAAAAGAAAGCAGACTTGATGGCAGATACACTTCGTGCATATTTGTCTACAGCTCACAAATACTTGCAACATCGCCTAGGCCGATCTATCAATGTTATGGATCCAGCATATGGTGGTAAACAGAATCGATATCATCCATTTCTCTACCAACAGATCCATGATCGTGGTTGTTGGCAACAAAAGCATGAACGATACGAACCATTCACAATGGAAATGTTTCTTGCATTGCAAAGATGGCTTGCTGGTGAACCAGATCCAACCGTAACCTTCCTTGGAAAGACACATTCTGTCTATGATTGGACCCGTCTCGGTATCTTCACTGGCTTTCGGGCTAGCGAATATTCTCAAGGCGACTTGGGTCGTGGAAAATTATTCAACAAGATTCCAGACCAACATGACGTTCCCAAACAGTTCCGAGGCATGCCTCTTGCAATGATGGCTCAGGACTTTCGCTTCTTTGACAAGCACTATGTGTTAATCCCACACAAACATTTGATCACACGGTATAAACGTGGTGATGTTGTGTGGCTTGAACTTCGATGGAAATATGATAAGAGCTCTTTCAACTTTGTGAAGAAACGCTTCAAAATCACAGGCCATCCTATCTACTGTCCCGTGGATGCCGCTGTCTGCATCATTCATCGGTCGACTCTTCTTGGTGTTCCCACCGCCTATCCTGTTGGCGTTTGGGGTTCCAACACCTCATCTTATCGCTTCTTGAAATCTAGGGAGGTTTCTGAGGTGATGCGCGGTTCGGTTGATATGGCATATCCCGACCCAAACCACTATTTGCGGATTAACCGCCATCTTATTGTTCCTCATTCCAACCGTGTCACCGCCGCAGTGTGCTTACAAAAAGGTGGAGCCAATAATGACGAAATCGCGTTCCGATTACGCTGGCTTCCGAGCTCTGTGCCCACCTACCTTCGCGACTGCTTCCAATCTATTGGTGACACGCTTGAGCGAACAATTCAAGGAGCGCTGAAGTTGACATTTTCTTCTTCTTCTTCTTCTTCTTAGATCCTCCTTTTCCTTCCGACCTTTCTTCCTTTTCCTGCTTTCTTCCTGTTTCTTCTTTGTTTCTTCTATGGTGCTTCGTGTGTTGTGGTGGTTGGTTGATTACACCATGATCATCAACTTTTGGTAGGCAAGCAAGTCTTTGATATTCCGCGAAGCGGAATATCAAAGACTGGCCTTTTGGAACCGCACGCTTCGCGCGCAATCCAAAAGACCAGCTTCACACCACAACCCACCAGAGTCACACCAAGAAAGAATCCCTCACGGAAGAAACCAGGCGGCAGGCGCCAGTTGGCTATCTTCGATAGTCTAACGTAGACGAAAGCTTGAGAACGAATCATTGGATTCCTTTCATCATACTGACGACGGTCGAACGACTGTCACAACAGCATTGCTCAGCAACACCAAGTCCGATCAGTTTATCGAACTTGTGTGCGAGTATACGTCAAGAAATAAGGTTTATTTCTTTCTTTCCCTCCCTCCACATCCCTGTTGGGCCTTACATCGACGCATTCTACGTCTCTGTAAGGCCTAGTACGCGGAATATCAAAGACTGGCCTTTTGGAACTGCACGCTTCGCGCGCAATCCAAAAGACCAGCTTCACACCACAACCCACCAGAGTCGATTCATGAAATTAGCGTCGATTCAAATCAAATTAGCGCTGATTTAAGTGGCCAAGTCGAAACCAGATAAATCCAGTTGGTTCTTTTACCCGTTGAATAAGTATTTTAAAAATACGTCACTATTACTACTACTCGTAATGCACATGCACACTTATACCGTACATGTACAGTATGTATTATTTCGCAATTGTCACGGCACTACGTGGCGTGTACAAATGCCGAATTTATTAAAAGGCTTTTATCTCGTACATTAATACACAGAAACCAAGTATTATTTTATATGTCTACAGTACAGTACCTACGGAAATCCCAATCTTCCGAGCCATGTGGTATGCCAAACTTCCGAGCCACAAACCAAACTTCCTCGCTGCACCCCACAATTCACAACTCACATCGTGTACAATCCATAAACTTTCAAAAGGCCCCAGAAAGGAATAGTGAAACATGGACGACGCCGCTGCTGAAATTCCGAAGCACTCTTCTTCTTCTTCCCGCCCTCAATCCAGTCGGAGACGAGAGAAAAAGGATGGAAGTCGCTCGAGCAGTCGATCCAAAAAAAGTTCGAGAATCAAATCAACGAATGATGTCTATTCTGAGATGGACAATAAGCCCAAGCACTCTGCTTCCTCCCGTCAATCTGATCGGTCTAGAGAACGACATGGTTCGAAAAGACCTGGAAAGGACGAAGAAGGCAGCACTGAATCTCGCGAACACCGTGCCAGTCGTCGTGAAAAAGAGGATCGAGATGCCAAACAAAGAGCACGCTCTTCTCGAAGTTTGGCCTCTGGGAGTCGCTCTTCCCAAAGTTTAGTACCTGGGGCTCAAGCCTCGACGGATGAGCATAAATCCAGCAGAAAGTCTCGCTCTGGTACTTCTCGTTCTGCCTCTTCTCGTTCTGTGAATCGAGATGAAAAGGCAGCCTATAGGAACAGAACAACCAGTGGCCCTGCTTCCGTTCCTGGAGCTCAAGTGGGTCGTTCTCGTAGACGTGACGAAAAGTCAAACGGACGTCGCAACAATCGAGCTACCAGACCTGGTGTCGAGTCTGGGTCATCTTCCAAGGATCGGAGTAGATCCAAAGCAAGCAGAAACGCCAAAGCAACCAGGAAAAGTAACGATGGAGACATTGTTGTTGAGAATAATGACGGGGAGGCAGTCGTTGCGGCCTTGTTGGTTGAAGAAGAAGATGCAGGCGAGAAGAAAGCGAACGAGATGGCTCAAATGCGTCAAGAGATCGCTGCTGAAGCCGAAAGGCAGCGAGAGAGGATGGAAGAAGAAAACCGACGTATCCGAGAAGAAGCGGAGCGCAAGGAAGCCGAACGAGAGCGCAAAGCAAAAAAGCGCAACAAGATCATTTGTGCCTTGATTGTTGTCTTGATTGGTGGTGGTGTTGGTGCCTTCTTTGCTCTTCAAGGTGGAAGTGGCAATGCCGATGCGACTGAGGTGACTCCAGACATTACCAAGGAAGAAGAAGGAACCCTCGATCCTGCTCTCAGTCCTTCCGAGTTCCCATCTGGCAAGCCTTCCAACAGTCCCAGCATCTTTCGAAAATATGACATTCCAAGCGACGAAGTCTGTCAACGTATCGCTTCTGGCCTTCCATTGGAAGATGAAGAGAATATGGATATCAAGAGCTTTGATGTTCTAATCGATGTGGGACTGTCCGATGACAGTGATATAAATGCACTCGCTCCAGATTTGCAAAACAGTTTTGAGCAAGTCTTGGTGCCAGACCTGATTGGTTGTCCCCGTGAAGGGTTTTCCGAGCGCCGACTTCAAGAGACTTGGGAGAATATTCGATATGCGATTGCCAAGGCAGAGTTAAATTTTAGCATAGCCGAAGGCGAATCTTGTCAAGATGATACAGGGTCAAGTACTTGCACTGTCATGACAGCTACTATCATCACTACCGTTCGAGAAGAAGAGAGGATCTTGAATCTAATTGCCATTCTGAGTACCGTATTCAGTGCTGGAGAGAATCTAAATCCAGTACTTCAACTCCAAGCACCATTTGATGCTGTTGTGGTTCGGTTGATTCGATCAATCGACCCAACAGCAGCACCGACAATTGCTCCAACTGAAATTGCAAGTGAGAATCCTACCAGTTTTCCCACAGCTGTGGCTCCATTGAAGACTCCAACCACCTCTGCGCCTACAATTGATGGAACAACGCCTGCACCAACAAAGACCACGACAAAGTCTCCTACAAAGGCGCCCACCCAGGCTCCTACACAAACCCCTCCTCCAACATTTGCTCCCCAGCCTGGATTAACTCCGCCGCCAACGCCCCCGCCGACGGCGCCACCAACGCAGGCTCCGACACCAACTCCTCCTCCGACAGTTGCTCCTCAGCCCGGATTGACTCCGCCGCCGACGCAGACTTCAAGCATTAGTCCGACCAACATCCCATCCGAGGCTCCAAGCGAGCGCCCGACTTCTGCCCGTCCTTCTGTGACTCCTTCGATGGTGCCAAGTTCCAGTCCTTCGTTGGGGGGCAGCCCAGCGCCTTCACGTAGTCCGACTAGTGGTCCAACCAGCGATCCCACTAGCAGTCCAACATCTCCAGCTCCCACTTCCATCTATCTAGGTTGCTTTCAAGATGATTCTACCTTCGGAGTAATGGATACCGCAGTTAAGCACGAGATTGATGTCGAGGAATGCCGCGACTTTTGCAGTATTATTGGATATGCTTACGCCGCGATCCACTTTGGATATGAATGCTACTGCGGAAATGCATACGACTCCCTTGGAACAGCAAGTAACTGTAACAGCGCGTGCTTCAACTCTGCTGATCAGTATTGTGGCGGTGAGAATTCAAACAGTGTGTACATGAGTGGTGCAGTTGTGACTTCTCCCGTGCCAGCGTTGGCAAGTGACTTATACTGTGGGTGTACAGGTGATTTCAACTATGAAATTGTGCGGGATATGTCACATTCGGCTCCCCACACCGGCCTCTCCCAATCTGCATGCATTCAGTACTGCAAGTCTGAGGGATACAACTTTGCAGGTTTACAGTACGCGAATGAGTGCTTTTGCGGAGACTCGCCTGGATCATATGGGATGTCATTGAATTGCTTCTTTTTTGATAACGATAAGGATGGCTATAGAGACTTCTGCAATGTTGTTGGGAAGGGAGCTTGCCTTGACGGTTCCAATGAATGTGAGTGCGGGGGTGTTGAGTCCAATATTTTGTTTCGGACGAGCCAAGCGATCTCTTGTCCCAGTGTCGCGCAGCCTGCGGATGACTATATCGGTTGCAGGAACGACTTAGCAAGCAATCGTGACTTGGACGTTTTGGGATCACATTACTCCTCTGTGGCGGAATGCAAGGCACTATGTCTAGACATCGGTTTCACTTACTTTGGCGTCCAGTATGGCGAACAGTGCTTCTGTGGCAACTCCTACGGCAAGTATGGAATTTCTGAAAATTGCGACACTCCATGCACCGCAGTGGATGAATCGAATTGTGGAGGTGAATATGCCAATAGCGCATATTTTACTGGGGCAGCTGTTGCTCCAGTAGCAGATTTGGAAGACAACTTGTACTGTGGATGCATGGGGGACATGGTAGAGCCAAGGGATTTGGAACATCAAGCCCCGCACAGTGACCTCGGCCAAAACGCTTGCATTTACTATTGCCGTTCCAAAAATTACGGTAAGTATTATATCGATGACTGCTTCGATTATTTCTTCATCGACTTCTTTCCTCACAATGCCATCAAACTCCAGACTTTGCGGGTTTGCAGGAGGGAAAGAAATGCTTTTGCGGCGACAACGCAGGAACCTACGGGTTGTCGAATGATTGTGGTATGGAGTGCCTTCGTCCAGAAGCTTCAGTTTGCTACGATGGTAGTTCATCATGCACTTGTGGTGGCCCTAGCGGGAGTGATGTGTTTCGCACTAGCACAGGCGTCTCTTGCCCAGTGTAGCCATCGTCAAAATGGATCAGTTGCTTTTGATCTGTGCTCAAACTTGACGCTGACATCTTGTAGAACAATCATCATTTATATATAGCTATATCTGTTATTTTATATTGCTTGATGTTGTCACACAGAACGACTTGCTCTACCGTCTCACCATTGATGTTGGACCCTTTTTATTTGTCCGCTTCAGAATCTTTGAGAGTAGAGTCAGAACTTTTTCCAGAAAGCATAAATAACTTGCTTTAGTCCTCCAGCGTGTATGGGCTGTAGAACATGATAACTCAAGACCGATTTGCTTTTATAGCAATTTCCAAGAAAAAACCTTGTATTCACTTTTGTCGCTCCAAGGGTTCCGGCATCGACTGTTTGGGCGACACATGCACTGCTTTTGCCTCGAAGCTTCTGGTTGCTATAAGATGGTAGTTCATGATCATGAGGCTGGTAGGGGAATGGGCTCTTCCCAGCAGACCGCAGCTTACTCATCTGCAAAGTGGCCCGTCTTCTTTTCCCCGGGCAGCTTTGCTTACTACTTTCCGGGTGTGCACGTGAAAACTGAGATGTACGGTGGGGTTTGGTGTTCGGGTGTCAGAAAGTAAGCTATTTATTTAGTATACATTTGCCTGTAGCTCCGTGTCGCACCATGTCGCAGTTGACGACATAAATTCATGTTCCTTTTTCGGCCGACTCAATCGACCGTATATTCGACTCAGTCGACTTCTGTTTCTTCTGTTCTGGAGAGTTACGGCACGTTATGTCTGCTTCTCCCACCAGTTGCAGACCCTACCCTGTATGTACACTTATATCTTGTCAAACCAAACCGAACGAAACCGAACGAAACCAAACGAAACCAAATGAAACCAAACGGGGACGATTCCTCAAGTACTTAAGGGATTCCACAAGTACTTGTAGGATTCCTACTGGAGTTGTGGGACACAAACAATCTTTCGACAAGAAAAATGGGTCGTTGACACTTGAACCGTTCGACTGAATTTGGAACAAGTAAATTGCGCAAGTAAAAGGGGGATCAGTGGGAGAGTCTCCCACTGTTTCACTGTACACGTACGTGTACCGCATACCGGTGTGGTTGAATACGAATTGAAAAATCGCTCATCATCTGCTTCTAATTGTACCGTACCTGTGGCCCATCACGCAAAAAACGCAGTGGCGCGCCTGCCAAGACATTCCTGTTCGAATCGAACGGGTCGTATTGGACACATGATGGTGCCACCCGCAATGTTCGGACTATCCGCGAACACTCCAACATTTAACAGCGAATTGAAAAATTCGCGGCTATTTAACCGCGAATTGAAAAATTCGCGGCTATTTAACCGCGAATTGACTTCATTCGCCGTTGTGATAACCGCGAATTGAAAAAGCGCCGTTGCTTTAACCGCGAATTCATAATATTCTAAAACTTCATCAACAAA